ATATATATATATATATATATATATATATATATATATATATATATATATATATATATATATATATATATATATATATATATATATATATATATATATATATATATATATATATATATATATATATATATATATATATATATATATATATATATATATATATATATATATATATATATATATATATATATATATATATATATATATATATATATATATATATATATATATATATATATATATATATATATATATATATATATATATATATATATATATATATATATATATATATATATATTAGACTTTATTTCTTCAGTACAGCATTAAAGAAGATTTTGAGCTGAATCTGTGGTTTTTGGTGATACATACATACTTTATATGTGGTTTTTTTATATGAGTATTTACAGTGACTGTATAGGCTATTTTTGTCCATTCGCATCCCGTCCCGCTGTGCCCTCTTGGCGGCATAATCGCAAACTGTGGTCATACCTAAAAAACACGTTCTTACTCCCATAGAGCGGCTGTGGGAGAAGGCATGGCGGTCATGCTCGTACTAAAGTGTCACCTACTGTGATGGCAGAGAATGGTGACAGCTTTTTTAGATTCAAAATGAACACATACAAATGAGTCCACTGCAATAACCATGACTCCTGATGACACACTGAGGTCTTGTGAAGCGAAATGATCGAAATTGAACATTATTTACAATATTATTAGCTTCAATCCACAGCTTGGCCAAACAGTTCTCGGTGAGTGTGCGACTGTAGTATCATTGTAGTCCAATCGCTTTGGTGAGAACATTGTAAGAGTGTGCTTAACCAGGAAATCAGCTGACACAGTTTGTTGATATATATTGGTGATTGCATTACTGGATCTCGTGCTTTAATCATTAAAATATGGTTGAGGAACTTATCTGTTTAGTTTGGCTTTTTAATATTAATATTAAAATAGTTTTGTTTTGGCGTGAGCAGCAGTTTTACGAGAGAACTGCAGACTTCTCTTCGCCCAGACACTGCCTCCAGCTCCTCTGGGGGGATCCTGAGGGGTTCCCATGCCAGCAGAGGGACATAGTCCCTCCAGGGTGTCCTGGGTCTTCCCCAAGGCCTCCTCCCTGTGGGACATGCCTGGAAAACCTCCCTAGGTAGGTTTCCAGGAGGCATCCGAAACAGATGCCTGAGCCACCTCAGCTGACTTCTCTCGATGTGGAGGAGCAGCAGCTCTACTCCGAGCTCCTCCTGGGTGACAGAGCACCTCACCCTATCCACAAGGCCTGCCACCCTGCGAAGGAAACTCATTTCAGGACGCTTGTATGCTTTGTATTGTAACTCGTCCATGAACAGCCACCTTATCATGGTGGAGGGGTTTGAGTGCCTGAGTGATCCTAAAAGCTATTGGAGACTAATTCCCCTGGTAGGGTCTCCCAAGGCAAAAAGGTCTTAGGTCAGACTAAGTGTGGCTAAAAAACTTTTTATGAGTACAATAACATCAAGAACCATGATGTCGCCACATATGTCGCAGCCGGGGCCCCACCTAGGAGCCAGGCCTGGGGTTGGGGCTCGTATGCAAGCGCCTGCTGGCCGGGTATTTTCCCACAGAACCCGGCGGGGCTTACGCCTGGTTTATACTTCTGCGTCAAGTGATTGGCATGACCCACGGTGCATGCAATGCACGTAGATGTGCATTCATACTTCTGCATGCTGTTTCTGTTGCTCTGCAACAGCACTCCCGAAACGCTAGTTGGCAGTGAGGTGTAAATGTTCCCCTGTGTAGAGTTTCTTCGCTGGTGTTAATGTACACTTCCTTAATATACAAGTAGTTCAAACCTGCTTATTTTGAGGCAGGAACCGGCTGACATACAACAACTTTAACCATGAGGTAAACACAAAACAAAACTTTCCATCCGGAGCTCCTTCACGGGACTTCATCCACACTTGTGAACAATCGCTCCATCGGGCTCATGCCACTCTCGATCCGACCCACACACGTCAGCGCTACCAAGCCGACCAATCACAGAGCTTGCGCTACACGTCGTTGCGACGTGTAGTTAAATTTTTTGAGAGGTGTGCGTCAGCAACGCGGATGGCGAGGGCAATGCTTCCACGCAAACATATATATATATATATATATATATATATATATATATATATATATACACACTAGATATCGCATAGGGACCCTGAGCATGCGTCAATAGCACCGCCACATTGGTACAGTGCTCCCAGGACAAATGTCATTCAACCGCACTAGTCAAGACAGTGTTATTACGTGAAGATGCAGGACTTTAGCGCTGTCTACGGGTGTAGTAACGAGCAAACAAAGAAAACAAAGCACAAAGGCAGAACATTTCATAGGTAATATTAATTTTTTTTTCTGTTTTTGTATGTTCTGAACTTCTGTGCTAATCAGGTAACGTTATTGATGATAACAGTCACTTACTGCATTCACCATACGGCAAAGCAGCTCCAACTCTCACTTAACACTCGGCTTATGCTAGTTTTGTTGAATAAAATCAGCAAACAATGCAAAAGAAATATGACAACGAGATGTTGCGCTGCCAGAAACTTGTATTATTGTCGGCTAACGTTAGTGAAAGAGTCGTTCGGGGGATTCATTCACAAACGAATCGCTCCTCCGTCAGTATGAGAAGTGAAAGCAGGAGAGGAGGTGTGTTTCAGGACACAGATTAGATTAAATTTAACAGGGAGGGTGAACAGTACATTTCTGTACACACAAACACAAGCTTTTTGTCAGGAATGCTTGTGCGGTCACTGATCCATCAATGTAGAAAAGTGATGTAAAATTATAATTTTCGTAATTAGAAAAAAAATTACATACTAACATCCAGGAAAACTCCCGATCATAGATATATGTGTATATGTGTATATCTCTGGCTTTGGATGGCCACAGTCCTCCACTGTACCTTGGTCCCGCATTCATTTCAAAGGAGCGCTACCCTGTAGCAAGATGGCGGCGCTATTGACGCATTTCTTCCAATAGACAACAATAGGCCAGGCGACATCTAGTGTACATATCAATGCCACGCAAAGGCTGCGCCATAGCATATGCGTGCGCTTGAGCAACGTGGGACCATCGTCCAGCAGGCCCGCTACCTGCAGCGGGAGCCATAAGGGGCCGGTGCTTTGTGGAACCGTTGGTGGTCGAAGGTTATGACCACGACAACCCGATCATTAAGCACTCCCAGTATATGAAACACCAAAATCCATACATCTACTGAAGAAAGAAAAGCATGTACATCTTGGATGACCTATCGGTGAGTACATTGACAGGGATTTTTTGGGTGAACTAATCAGTCAGTCGGTAAATGGTGATTTCAATTTCAGTCTGTACAGCCTGCATTGCCTTCGAAAACCTGGAATAAAGTGCACGAGTCATTCGGACCACTTTTTTATAATACTTGAATGGCGTTTCTGTAAAGCCTAAAAGCCTGAATGGAGATTTTTGTTCAGAGTCCTTCATCTTTTGTGTTCCCCAGGAGAAAGGAAGCCATATGAGTTTAACCTCCAGTCAAACAGTCACATTTCTGTTCCTTTAAGCTTGTTTTTTTCTCCTCCATCTCGACACGTACAGATATCACAACTCATTCACTTAACACAAAGTACGGTGTTACATTCATAATGCATTATTAGCATGTATAACGTACGTCAAACTGGGTCTACGGCGAGCCCAGCGACCACAAATGCTGATTGTTATGGCAAGCTGATGGTTGTCAAGGGAGAATTATACATGCTGGTAGTGATTTTTTTTTTTCAATCTCATAATAATAATGCATTATTTGAATGAAAAGCCACTGAAGGGAGGACTCACCGCTGTGCACATCATGTATCCGGCTCCGAAGTCAAAGCGACACTGTTCGTTCATGGAGTAATCCTCTCCGGGCAGCTGTGGAAGCTTCTCCCATGTGTGCTCGAACGGGTCATCCCGAAGACAATCATATGAGCTACAGAGACAGATTGAGGAGGTGTATTACCATACTAGTCCAGACTGTGTGTGTATGTACAGTTAAAGTCAAATTTATTTGCCCTCCTGTGATTTTTGTTTTTTCTTCAATCAGGGGTTGCCACAGCGGAATCAACCGCCAACGCATCCAGCATATGTTTAACGCAGCGGATGGCCTTCCAGCTGTAACCCATCACTGGGAAATACCTTACTCTCTCATTCACATACATACAGTGGACAATTTAGCTTACCCAATTCACTTATAGCACATGTGTTTGGACTATTGGAGAAACCAGAGCACCTGGAGGAAACCCAAGCGAACATGGGAGAACATGCAAACTCCACACATAAATGCCAACTGACCCAGCCGAAACCCTAACCAGCAACCTTCTTGCTTTGAGGCAACAGCGCCACCCACTGCGCCATTGTGTCGCACAACTTTTCACAGTGTTTTCTTCTGGAGAATGTCTTGTTTGTTTAATTTAAGCTAGAAATAAAGCAGTTGTTAGGGTGCTTTCACACCTGTGAATCGATTCAGTTGTTCTGAAACAGAGATTACAATTGTTACATTGTTGCTCTTTGCTATTGGAGCGGTTCGCTTTCACACTGCAAAGTTTCTAATTAGACCAAAAGAGCTAAAACAAGTCACGTGTGAGTAAACTCTCCTCACATTGGTCAGAGTGTCAGGGTTTATTTTGCAGCGTCCCGCTAAGCTGTCAGGAGAGGTGGTGGATTGATGGTGATTGACAGGGTGTGCACGTGCGATGTGTCTGAGGAGAGACGCGGTGGGGAGGGGTGAGAAGGGTGCGCGACGATCATCACTCGTTTGCGGGCATCCAGAGACTCGCGAAACTTCCCGCCATACTCATAATTCTCTCTTCATATAGCCGTAAGCCTATTACATATCCATAAAACACTGTGATATAACTGCGCTCGGATCGGATCGCTTTCTCACTGTAATCGAACCGATCCAGGGTTCGTTTTAATCGAGCCGAGACCACCTTGATCAAGCAATCTCAGAGCGATTACTTTGGCGCGGAACAGAGCGCGATTGCCCTGTTCACATATGCCAAACGAACCGCGCTAACTGGGCAAACGAGACACGTTCCAAAACACAAGTGTATGTGTGAAAGCACCCTTAATGTTTTTAAAAACCATTTTGAGGGCAATATTACTAGCACCCTTGTTTACAGAAACAAGCCACTGTTAAACAATGACTTGCCTAATTAATCTAGTTAAGCCTTTAAATTGCACTTTAAGCTATGTACTTGTGTCTTGAGAAATATCTAGCAAAGATAACATAAAATTATTAGCTCTCCTGAGTTATTACCCCCCCCCCCCTGTTTATTTCCCCCCCAATTTCTGTTTAACGAAGAGATATTTTTCAACACATTTTTAAACATAATAGTTTTCATAACTCATCTCTAATAACTGATTCATTTTATCTTTGCCATGATGACAGCACATAATATTTCACTAGATATTTTTCAAAATACTAGTATTCAGTCTAAAGTGACATGTAAAAGCTTAACTAGGCAGACCCCCTAGTTTTTCACAATTTTTTTTGTGATTTTTTTCTGATAAAAATGACAGATTTTGTGGTGGTAATTCGCAGATAGTCGCAGACAATTTTGCAATTAAAAGAAATATATATATTTATATAAATTGTTATATACTATATATATATCTTATTAGGTAGCCTACTATGTTACTATGTTAAGAGCAGGCCCGTGCAGAGACCGTCCAAAGGGCATGTGCAGGATAACATTTTTGAAGAGCGCGATCAGGTTGTTGCGCTCATACTGAAGAGCGGTGTTATCGCGTGCGTACTGATCAGCTGTGTTGTTGCGCGCGTACTCACGAGAGGTGTTGTCGCGCGCCTACTGAAGGGCGGGACCGAGGGTGTGCCGCGTCGCGGGGGCACTTTTGATCATTTTGGAAGGGCACTTTCTAACCAAGACTAAAAAGGGCATGTGCACTGCACAGGTTGAGCCCTATGTGTGCACGTGCCTGGTTAGGAGTGCAATCTGACACAATGACACAAATCATAAAACTAAAGCTTTTAGTCTCTTGTTAAGACAAGATCTAAAACAGATCTAAAACAGTAGGGATTAAGCCAAAGGAAAGCTGTATAACTCTTATTTTTATTCACGATCTTACTTTCTCTCATATTTCCCTCCCCGGAGCATTTAACATCATGTACCTCACTCAGGATATGCGTTAATACCTGTCGTAATGCACCTAAAACACGAATTGCCATAAAACTTGACAATGGCAGGGAAGCGTTTTCTCTCGTTAACTGCAAGAAAAGAGTTGCAGCGAAGTGCAACGAAAACATTTATCGATTTGACAAACCATAATACCAGCCATACATGTAAAATAATCTCCTTCAATTTGGTCACGTCCAGCAGCCATCATCCTTGATCTCCATCATTGTAATCTGCTTGCATTTTTGTCTGGTCCATTGCTCCATTTGTTAGATGTTTGCTCACACTTTCTTTTGCAGTCTGAAGTGCGTCAAACGCACAAAATACCGAATTCGAGCATAGTCATTTGCTCAATTTGGCACCACAGGATGTCAAATCGCAACTTTACGTTGACTTCACATGTAAATCATTGCGTGGATATATATATATATATATATATATATATATATATATATATATATATATATATATATATATATATGTATAAATATATATATACAGTATATCCAGCACTCACTGCAGGTATCGGCCCAGTTCCTGTTGACTGCAGCGGGACCAGTGGAACCGGTGGAAAGCAGCCTGCACCAGCGGGGCCATGATGCTCCCCATCTGCACCTCATCTCCACAGCGGTTCCCCTGCCCGTCATGCTCCATTCCCAACCTATAACACACATATATCAACCTAAAACTTTTATTGATGCCATTTTTTATATTTTAAGAATGTCAGGCTTCACTGATGGTAAATACTAGAAGCATGATTTCTATCTGACAGATAATTTAGCAACTATTGCAAACACGAGTGTCAATGTGCCCATTTAAAACCTGTACAATGTTTTTTTCAGAGACAATGATAAGATTTGCTCAGAAATACCTGTCAGCACCTTGTCAATTTATGGATGAAAAGAGAAACGGAACTGGTTGTAAAGAAAAAGAGATTGTAATCTTGATCAACAAGAACGTCCCATTAATGCCCTCACATTTAGCAACAAATAGATTGGAAATCATTTCAGATTTTGTATTATTATTGATGATAAATGATAAAACTTTTGAAATTAAATCTCTGTCATATGCCATTTTGAGGATACACTTTACTTTTGAGGTCCATACATTTTATTCATAGATTTTAAAGGTATGTTACCTAGTAACATGTATGTTACAGTCCTCATTCTTGTGCACTATAGTAAATAAACACATTTCTAGTATTGCTTGAAATACTTGAATATACATGAAATAAATGCAAATATACACTCACCGGCCACTTTATTAGGTACACATTACTAGTACTGGGTTGGACCCTCTTTTTCCTTCAGAACTTCCTTTATCCTTCGTAACATAGATTCAACAAAGTACTGTAAATATTCCTCAGAGATTCTGGTCTATATTAACATGGTTGCTGCAGATTTGTCGCATCCATGATGCAATTTCTTCCCCATTCTGATGCTCAGTTTGAACTGTAGCAGATTGTCTTGATCATGTCTACATACCTAAATGCATTGAGTTGCTGCCATGTGATTGGCTGATTAGAAATTTGCATTAACGAGCAGGTGTATCTAATAAAGTGGCCGGTGAGTGTACAAATACATTTAAATAATTAGTAGTAAGTGCATTTAACAGGGACAATGAATTATAATATCGCTAAAATTCCCCATCAGCCAATGCTCAATCATTAAGGCATCTAGTCAAAGGCTAATTGGCAGCTCTAGACACTGGTTAGGCTTTTTATACAACAATACAACAGTAAAAAAATCTTTAAATTATCTTTTGAATAGATAGAATTGAATAATAATATCTTTTGACTGATGTTTACTATAGTTTATAGCAAGAGCTGTTAAAATTATATTATATTTTATCTTATTCTCCAGAATAAACAAACTGCAGATTACATGAACATTATCATATCAAAGTATTAACATATTGAATATCTGTATATACCATATCGAAATCGGCCCAGAGAAGGACTTATTTATTGGTTACCTGTAATAAAAATACATTTCATATCTTGTATCCCTAGCAAATACACATTTATGTCCTACTACTTCAATCATTGGAAGCGTGTGTCAGCCTACACTTTTGTGAAACCACAAAAAGGTACCACAACATACTATACGTTTCACTGCAGTTTAAAGGTAAAATTAACTATTTAAAGGGATAGTTCACCCCAAAAATCACAATTTACTTACTATTTACACACCTTAAAGTGGTTCCAAACATAGACTTTCTTTCCTCTGTTAAACACACAAAAAATACAGATTTGAGAAAGCTGAAAACCTGTAACCATTGACTTCCATAGTATAGGAAAAACAAATAGAAGTCAATGGTTACCAGTCTACAGCATTCTTCAAAATATCTCCTCCTGTGTTTAACAGAAGTAAGTTAGTCAAACAGGTCTGGAAAGGGTGAATAAATGATGAGTGGATATTCATTTTTGAGTGAAATATCACTTTAAAAGTATCTTGCAGAAAGATATTTGACAGGATGTAAAAATATTTAAAAAATATGACAGGAATTTTGAACATCCAATAAGAATCAAAGACCAGATCTAACTGTTGCATAAATTAAGTTTAATTTCTGATAAATAATGATCTTATAACACGACACAACGAACTCAGACAGTAAACTAATAGCGCGTTTTTTTTATCTCCAAGCGTAGTAGTGCTTTGTTTTGGTGAACTTTCCCTTTAAGAGTATCTTGCAGTAAGAGTAGCGACAAAGTCACTAGTGTTTATAAATTATGACTGCTATTTTGAACATACAGTCAGAATCAAAGACCAGATGTAACTGTTGCATAATTTAAGTTTATTTTCTGATAATGATCTTATAACACGACACAATGACCTCAGATGGTAAACTAATACCGCTTTTTGTATCTCCAAGCGTAGTAGCGCTTTGTTTAGGTTAAACTATCCCTTTAAAAGTATCTTGCAGTAAGAGTAACTGCAAAAGTCACTAGTGTTTACAAATAATCACTGCTATTTTGAACATCCAATCAGAATCAAAGACCAGATCTAACTGTTTCATAAATTAGGTTTAGTTTATGATAAATAATGATCTTATACCACGACACAATGAACTCAGATGGTAAACTAATACCGCATTTTGTTTCTCCAAGCGTATAGTAGTGCTTTGTTTTGGTGAACTATCACTTTAAGAGTATCTTGCAGTTAGAGTAGTGGCAAAGTCACTAGTGTTTATAAATAATGACTGCTATTTTGAACATCTAATCAGAATCAAAGAGCAGATCTAACTGTTTCATAAATTAAGTTTAGTTTCTGATAAATAATGATCTTATAACACGACACAACGACCTCAGAAAGGTAAACTAAAATTATGTTTTGTATCTCCAAGCATAGAAGTGCTTTGTTTTGGTGAACTATCACTTTAAGAGTATCTTGCAGTAAGAGTAACTGCAAAAATTACTAGTGTTTACAAATTATGACAGCTATTTTGAACGTCCAATCAGGATCAAAGTCCGGATCTAGCTATTGAATAAATTTATTTAAATTTATTAAGTTTAGTTTATGATAAATAATGATCTTATAACGAGACCTCAGATGGTAAACTATACTGCTTTTTGTTTCTCCAAGCATATAACTGCTTTGTTTTGGTTGAACTGTCCTGAATACTGAAAAGTATCTTGCCGTAAGCACATGTTTACAAATTATGACTGCTCTTTTGAACATCCAATCAGAAACAAAGACCAGATCTAACTGTTGCATGAATGTAAAAGTAGACTGATAACTATCGGGCTGCAATAGAAACTCACACATGGCCGGTTTCGTGCGCCACCACAAACGCAGAAGAGAAACCGTCCTCATGGTTGAGAGTGCAGCTCCGCACAGGATGACACATGCCTGTGACTGGAGCGTAACCTAAAAACACACAAGAAAACCAGACTGAATGTGTCCTCCTCACATCCACATCATCCATTCACACTAATATATCCCACTCATCTGACAAATGCCTGAGGTCAAGGCTACAGCAAGATGGTGTGCTTTTTAAAGCCTCGGTGTGTATTTTACCTTGCATTCCTGTGGGCCCGAACTCTTGGCGCGTGAGAAAGATGGCATGATCGTGGTATTCTTTATCATTAGTGTCTTTCCTCTGCTGTTCGAAAGCCCAGCGACACACATTCTCCAGACTCTGAGAAGGATTGCCCAGCTCAATGAGGCTCGTGGACTGAAACACACACATGAGACGGATGTTACGTTACACTCAATGATACATTCAGAAATTAATTTAGGCTTCTGATTTCTATAACAATGCAATTCCGGAACAATAAAACGTAATAAATGTTGATCCCACTTTATATTAAGTGTCCTTAACTACTATGTACTTACACCAAAAAAATAAATACAATGTACTTACTGTGTTTATAATGTATTTGAGAACACTTGTGGTGCTTTTGAGTTAGAATAGAGGTTGGGTTATGGAAATGTTTGGTGGCATGGGTAGGTTTAAGGGTAGGTTAAGGTGTAAGGAATGGTCAACAGTGTATTTACAAATGTAATTACAAAAGTTAATTACAGATGTAATTACATACATGTATTTAATCAAGCATAAATACACAGTAAATACATGTATTTACACAATAAGAACATTGTAACAAACTATCAATTCCTATGTAAGTACATATTAGTTAAGGCCACTTAATATAAAGTGGGACCTAAATGTTTTACTACCTGTAATATTTACCACATCTGGCCGGCAAATATGTGTAAGAAATGGTCACACTTTACAATAAAGCATCATTAGTTATCGCCAGTGCTGGGGAGGTTACTTTGGAAATGTAATAGATTACAGATTACAAATTACCCTATTAAAAATGTAATAAGTAGTGTACCTTTCAATTACTTTCTAAAAGTAAAGTAACTGTTTACATCTGATTACTTTTTGATTACTTTTAAGTTTCTAATGGATATTTTCAACGAAATCATTTTCAAGCATTTATCCCTAGCAGGTTTGACCTTACAGCTCTGTTTACTGCTGGAATTTCAACATCTCTCATCACTTGAATTAAGATTATATTAATAAAATTTTTAAAGTACAGCCACCACAAAACCATTGCAATCAGAATCAGAATCAGTTTTATTGCCAAGTGTGCTTCACACACTCTCAGAGAGTTTGTTTTGGCTGCAGAAGCTTCCAGTGTACATTAAGTGACAAGAGAAAACCCAAAATAAATATGAAAAAAGATGATAAACATTAAACGGAGATGCAGTTAGTCCAGAAATCTGGATGTTGAGTTGTGTGTACAGATTTGTTATAATTATACAGGTTATACAGTGCTGTGTACAAATGCGAATGGAGAAAGTATTGCATTGTGTATTGATATAAGGTGCTTGCAACCCAAGCTCATTCTGAAAACATAGTCCCGCGGACGTTTCTGGAGATAGAGGAATACGTCCCGGGGGGTACGTACGGCCGCGTTTATTTTTTTCAAGCGAACGCTGCGGGGCGGTGTGACGCGGTTTCCTTTCACGCTTGCCTTACCTCCTTGTGGAGGGCTTCCCTGCTGCAACCCGTTTGTCCACTCAGCTCACCGGGTACGTCGGTAGGCTTGAGATGCAGAGAGGAGTCGACCACGGTGGCCGGTTTCGAGTCCGGGGAAGAGCGGTTCCAGCAATCAGGTAAGACAAAAACAGAATCCCAAAAATTAAGTGAACGAGTTTCGTGACAGGGTGAGAACCCGGCGAAATCCGAAAACGCGGTAGAAAAAAATTAGGGCTTTTATTTTTTTGGACGGCTTTTGTAAACTGTTGCTTGGTTTAGGGAAGCGAGCGGGCGGGCGGGCGGGCGGGTCAATCGGTGAAATTGGTTGGGTTCAGGGAAGGAGGAGAGCGAGTCGGCCGATTGGCCGGTCGCGCAGTCAATCATCCGGTCAGTCAGACAGCAGCCTCTGGTGGGTTCACGCGAGAACAGCGCGGGCGCGAACCGCGCTCGCGAGAGGCATCTGAGGTGCAGGTAGTGAAGTGGGTTTTGCCAGCCCTTTTACTCACTCTGGAAGAGTACAGTATTACTAGTATAACCAGACTTTATAACCAAAAACGTTTACTGTTGTTACAAAATCTAAATTTGAATTAGTTATGCAGGGTGATTTTTGTGGCATTTGCAATTAAAAAAACATCTAAGCTATTTTTGCCATTTTCATTGTTAAATCGAAGCCATTTAAATACAAGCCAATCATATCTTAGTGATCAATAAAACTGCCAATGAAACATATGAGGCAGAATTGTTCAGTTCAATTATTTACTGCAATTAATATGCTCCAAACAGAAACAAATTATAGTATGAGTAACAGCAAAAACAAAAAATCCAAAGGTGTTACACATATAAAACACTATAGTAATTTATGGTAAAGAGAAATATTTAGGAATAAGCATTATATATATATATATATATATATATATATATATATATATATATATATATATATATATATATATATATATATATATATATATATATATATATATATATATATATATATATATATATATATATATATATATATATATATATATATATATATATATATATATATATATATATATATATATATATATATATATATATATATATATATATATATATATATATATATATATATATATATATATATATATATATATATATATATATATATATATATATATATATATATATATATATATATATATATATATATATATATATATATATATATATATATATATATATATATATATATATATATATATATATATATATATATATATATATATATATATATATATATATATATATATATATATATATATATATATATATATATATATATATATATATATATATATATATATATATATATATATATATATATATATATATATATATATATATATATATATATATATATATATATATATATATATATATATATAT